TATATATATATGTATATATATATATATATATATATATATATATATATATATATATATATATATATATATATATATATGTATATGTATATGTATATGAGCAGATACTAAAAACCCCAAAGCTCTATCCTCTAAAACAATGCTTATTCAGAGGTCGCAAATCAATCGGAAACAAATACGAGTGACATACATCCTTCTTGATAATCTCTCCTCGCGTGACACCTAGGACATCATAGCAGTTCTCCTTGCCGCAATACATGCCCTCGTACAAGGCTTGTACGTCAGCAATCTGAGCTAGCAAGACTAAGCATGCTAGCACACAGCCTAGTAGCCCGTTACGCAACATATCTAATGTTATGCTCCTTCTTCTGCGTCTGCTCAGTACTTGCAAGTGCGCTACAAATGTGTTTGCGTGTGTTGTGGTGAATGTATCAGGAAGGCGCCATGTTTACACATTATAGTACCGAACTTTTGACTCAAATCAGTTTGCAAACCACATTATTATTTCAGCTCAGACCCCCTCTGAACGAAAAACATTGAGGCAGCTATGTTTATTTCTACAAAATGTTGGACACTCGTGTAAATAATCCCATAGTCATCACTCTATCACTCAATTTCCCAAGTTTTTTATATAGTCACAGACAGTCAGAGTGACACTCAACAGTGAACAGTCAACAGTCCACTCATATTTTTACACAGATTCTCAGAGTCGAGAGTCGCTGAACTCGCAGTTGACACTTCGCAGGAAACGCACTGAAATAAAATAAATACAAATAAATAAATACACTCGCACTTAGCCACAGACGCACACTCACAAGTCACAAGTCACAAGTCACAGTCTCACAAGTCACAGTCTCACAAGTCACAGTCGCACACTCTTCAGCAGACCTCAGAAGCTCAGATCGCCTCTTTTCAATCATCGAATTACGTCACGTGTGATGTCACAAGACTGAAACCTCTTGTGTACGAATGTTTCAGTAATATTCAGTACTTTGCCGAAGACCGTTAAAAGGGTGCCAATATACCGACAGTATAATTTATCTGCGAACCAATGAATATGGGTAATTAACCTATGAACGTAAAAAAAGATCTTTTTCAGAAAAACAATGAAATATATCCTCCCCTGAAAATTAAAATATCATAAATATTTAGCCCTCTGTGAAAATATGCGAAAATGATTTTTATTCCTTTTTTTTGTTTTTATAAAAACCAAATAAATATAAAGATCACATCTGGCCTCGGCCCTCGGCCCTCGGCCCTCGGGGTACTCCTATGAGACTATGAGTCATAAACCGAACTCATAAATGTACAGATTTCAACCCTGTGAAAATGCGTAGGCAGCGGTAGCTTCGTTCAATTTTACAAGCCACGCCACAGCACAGTATAAAACATTGACACAAAAGGATTGGTAACGCCATAAACATTTAACCACACTGTCGACTACATAACTTAATCTGCTCAAAATGGATAAGGAACCGAAAACTAAGCGAGCCAAAAAGTCCGACAAGGGCAAGAGAAGTTACGACCTCAATGGAAAGTTTTCACAGAAAGGCGTCAGGAGAGTGGCGGCAATCAAGGAGGCGAAGAAATAGCGACGACACGGCATACTGTATAACTGCAAACTTGTTAATGGTAACAAGCACTTTCCAATCGTTGGAAAGCACACATAATTGAGTTGTAATTGTGATCTCACATGCCGATGGGGACCATAATTGCTTTGCTGTAGAGCTCGCTGCAAAAATAGCTTGGTTTGGTGACTGAGTTAACATGGTGCCGCTACGTCGGCCACTGGTGTTTATATCGGGCATGGTGATTAAACTCCTGCCGGTGGGTCGATACTTCCCCACCACTCGTCGAGAATTCCGAATCTTCCATGGATAAAATTTATTCGGTATATGTACTCAGACTATAAATAAAACGATTACACGTCCCAAGCTTTTTGTCGTCACAAAAAAAAGAGCGTCTTGACTATTCTTAGAAATTTAGTGATTGTATCATCTAAGCTTTACACAAATGCACTTAGAGAGGTCATTAGGAGTTATGTATCGCCATGTTTTCGCGATATATGAATATTTCTTCTCACTCTCACGTCGTTCTGTGTCGTTCTGTGTCGTTCTTCCCTCTCTCACCATATTCACTATCCTTTCTACAGGCTAAATTTTTTCAAAATACAATCGCAAAATATACTTTTTTATTGATCAAACTTATACTGCCAACGCCCCAATGGTGCATCCTGGGAAGATTTCGGCCCTAGACAATACTTTAATCTTGCTCAGCAATTGCTTGTAAGTGTTCGTCAATCTCTTCAGCGGTGAGTGTACGAAAGCGGCGATTCTCAGAGTCCACTACGGCCACCTCGATCTCAGACGACTAGAATGCATGATCACAAAACAGGCAGAGATAAGCATACGAAACATCGTCATCCGAACCAATAAGACCGTGCAGCTCGTGGAGTCAGAATTGGACAAGTATTATATCTAACTATAATCCGAACAAGCAGTTCAAAGCGTAGGCGCATCCAAAACAAAAACAAACCAGATTATGTTCAATGCTTAGTAGTTGGCACCTTGAATTACTTCGACCACAGGTGCTACGCCGTGTCTAAAATCGCTGCCTACCTTTAGCTCTGTCTGCAGAACGCTTCCGAGTGACGAGATCGCGGTCTGGATGGTCTCGTCCTTAGTCCACTGAGGATTTTTCTTTATCTTCTTCTCCAGGAAGTTGTTCGCCTCTTGTTCCTTAACTCCGGCCGCAACAGCCTACGGTTGAAGTAATTATACAACTTTAGAACGACGAAAAATGTGTATGTATCTACAGAAAGAGCAGGACGCCTGTTCTCATATGCATGTCACTTTGCAAATTCAGCATTCATCCTGCGTAACATTTCAAATGGTTCGTGCTCGCATATATATGTAAGTGAATAAATGTACGAACAGAATCTGTATAGGTCCGTTTATATGGACATATATGTGGGTATATCTATGCTCTATGTGTATCAGAAATTGGCTTGAACTTCTATGTGTAACCGTATCACTATCTGTATCCGAATGTATATGCTTCTATGTGTAACCGTATCTGTATTGCATATTAACATATATACATGTGCGTTTGTATAAATTCACACACACACACAAGTATAGTCGTGTTCAAATATGGGTATACTTCGAACCATAGAGCACTTGAAACCACTACAAATACACCCGATTCCTCAGAAGGAGATCCTTGGCACTCAACAAGGTGCAATATGCCGGTCATCACTATCTAAAAGCACAGAACAATCTCAGAAACCAGCACATACGAGAACTATTAAAGTTTGATCCCGTACAACTGCGACTGCACAGAAAAATCAGACACGATCTTAAGGACGAATAGATGTAACGAGCAACAACCTGAAACCATATAAGGCCATTGGAACACCTTGTCATCGTCGCATCTTGAATAGTTTTGCAAGATTCCACATTTGGCCCGGTTTATATCATCTAGAATTCTTCACATATATATATATATATATATATATATATATGTGTGTGTATGTGTATGTATATGTATATGTATATTTATACACGTATATTAATATGCATATGCATATACTTATACTCACATAAGCATATATATATATATAATTATACAAATATATATGCATATATATATACACACACATCTATATATATAATTATACAAATATATATGCATATATATATACACATATATATATATATATATATATATATATATAATTACAATGTATATTCAATTATATTATATAGATACAAGTTATTGCAATTCGCACGCTTACAATATGATTAAAGTCGCACCTTGTAACCAACGAAGTAACCAGCGGGATCAGTGCGGTAGAGCATTGCTCCAAATTCATCGTCGTAAGCAATGAGCATCATCGCACAGCCCAGCGGTCTCATAGCCGCATGCTGTGTGTATACCTACGCGATTTGGGATTGCCATAAGTAATAGAAAAGAACAAATAAGCGGATGAATATATCTAGACATATATATATATATATATATATATATATAGATTAATATATATACAGTTATAGATATAGACATAGACATAGATAAAGATACGGATATGCGGATATATATATATATATATATATATATATTTGTGTGTGGGAGTGAAGCCAATGGCGAAGGGTAGTTGGCATACTAAAGATATTTCATAAGTATAGATTATCTGTAAATATCACACACAGATACCAGGTAAAGAACATCCAATTTTGAAGTAAATTAACGCTCGTTCTAGCGGGCTATGTAAACTGTGCTGCTTAATATCCATTTACACGTGCATCCATCAAATCAATACACTTGAACCCGACGGATCCTATTTGTGATCACAAATGCAGAATCAATCATGCTTTTATGGCACACGCTTGTTTTCGCATGGACTTCTGTTGGGCAATGCTTTTATCAAATTTTACACGCAGATTACATATACAGCAGTCTGAACACGTACTCGAAACCAAGTGTCCAACGAGCCCTCATGTAATACATGCTAACGCACAGAAAAGATTCGCGGTGTGTATATCATAATCATTGGGCTTGGCTTGGCTTGGTTTGGATTAACTTGACGCATATCACACATCTTATCATACTGGTACGTGCGTCTACTTATATGTAATACAAAAAAAAATACACTCAAAGTAGGAATTGTTGAACCCCCATGAAAGCCCGACTATCCTACGGGCTGAGCTATACAGTGAACTAATGCGAATAGTTTGACTCGATAGACACACTACCGCACTAGCACCATGGTTGATCACGCTATGCGTCGTCCTTCCGCAGAATTGATTCGTACTAGAAACACACACGGCCAAGACATTCAATATTTCTATCGAAGGATACCGAAAGAAAATCTACGTATCAATAAGAGCGCACCATGAGCGCAAGCTGGGCCATGCATCGTACTGTGGATGAGGATCTAAGCAGATAACCCAGTACTAAACACTGTACAGATACCAGTCCATCAGACGTTCATGCATGTCTATCCGAGTGTACCTGAGAAAGATCGGCCATTCGTTTTGCGATCTGATCGCACGGCATCTCATAGCCGTACGTGTGCTCAAACTCAGCCGACTCGTACCTAGACGTGTGACAGGTAGTTGATAAGTCAGTGGTTTGAGATGGCACCATCAGCACTTCAGTAAAGAGCGATGGCACGCGATATGCACTCCACAGCGAAGTGAGAGACAGAGAGATACGATACGACAGGCGTGGGCAGGCTTTGTATAGAAGACAAAATTGAACTATATATACACGTATTGAAGTGTGAATGCATACTCTAAGATCCCATATTCGCATACATGTATATACACCAACGCGGTTCTCCACGCACGGAGCCAGTTGAACCTTGGCAAATGGTAAGGCGATATGAATTTAGGTGTAAGCGTGAAACACGATGCATACATCCACTATGGTAGATCATATACATAATAGATAACATACACAACTCGGATTGAAACTCACCGGGCCCTTGGCACTTCTGCATGAGTACGACAATAAAGGTAGAGATATACACCTACATGATGAATAATTAATCTGCAGTTACATCTATGCATATTAAATAATTCACTTAAAGGGCATGTACACATACCAAACCCGTTAAACCTTTGTATACATACATAAATATATATATATACACATATATATATACATAATTTATATATATATATATATATATATATATATATATATATATGTTGTGTGTGTGTGTGTGTGTG